GGGAACAGGAAAGGAAACAGGTTGTCGAGGTAGAACATGAGGAGATGAGAGTCAGACCGCTGGAAGGGTATACTCCCTCGAGAGTCCCCGTTCGTAAGTGTACAGTCAGCCCCACGTCGAGGCGAGGTAAGTGATGTATCGGGACGTGGCTCCATCCCATCATCTCGAGAAGTCTGACCTCTGGACGCTTGTTGAGGCAGCATTATCCATTCGCCAGTAGTAGCATCGGCAACTGAGACGCGGTCGGCAGAGAGATGGGCCGAGCGCTCTCCACGACGGAGATGGGCCGTGTCTCTCACCTCGCACTTTAGCCTCTCGGCCATCTCTTCCTGTCTCACGCCACCATCCATCCATTCCGGCTTACTCTGGTCGTAATAGCAGGTAATAAGGAGTGCGGCGCATGTGTCGCACACAGGATGTTTCTCATCGCACTTTTTACGGCGGAGGCGGCAGGTCCAGCAGCCATTGGAGCTCCTTGTGGTGCTGCTATAACGAGGGCTATAAGACAATTCCATAACCACAGCCTCATGCGATACAAAATTTCTCCTCAGCTAAGGCGGTGTTTTTTGCGGTTCAGGTTCTCAAAATGGAACTGTTTAATTATGTACTCGGATAGGTTCTACCTACACTACCTCAGTCATCTTTCCAATGTCGGAGTCTTAAGTACCTGGTACTTAGCGCACGGACCTTCGTCAGCACACTTAGTGATGGCAATATAAAAACAAGGTACGTACCTAGGTAGGTACCTGAGTATTGTTGAACAACTTCGTGTTTCGATTACATGACTGCCTACCTCCCCAGGAAAAATTGCTCAAAAAGACTTCTATCTAAACGTTGAAGCTGAGAAACGACTCGTGTATATTGGTTACTCGACGAACCAAAAACAGCCTGACACCCATCTCTTGCACGAAGAAAATAAACGCGTGATCGTTCCTTATCTTTCAGCTCATGATGAAGGCGTCCGAGATTTTTAAGAGTGTTCAATGCCGGGGGATAAGTTTTCACCATTTCCATCCCCAAGGCTTTCTCATAACCTTGGAGTGCTCGCATGTACATTGCTTCTGCATCTGCCAATTGGCCTTGTTCTCTATAAAGAACGCCTAAGTTGTTGACTGTATCGAGCGTCGATGTGTGTTCTGGTCCTAATGCCTTCTCATAGCCTTCCAGTGCTCGTTTGAACATTGCCTCCGCCTCTACTAGTCGGCCTTGACGTGTATAAAGAAGGCCTAAGCTGTTGATTGTATCGAGTGTTGATGTGTGTTCTGGTCCTAATGCCTTCTCATAGCCTTCCAGTGCTCGTTTGAAAATTGCCTCTGCTTCTACTAGTCGGCCTTGACTCGCATGAAGGTTGCCTAAGTTGTTGACTGTATCAAGCGTCGATGTGTGTTCTGGTCCTAATGCCTTCACCTTGCCTTCCAGTGCTCGTTTGGACATTGCCTCTGCCTCTACTAGTCGGCCTTGACATGTATAAAGAAGGCCTAAGTTATTGACTGTGTAGAGTGTTAATATGTGTTCTGGTCCCCATGCCCTCTCCTTGCCTTCCAGTGCTCGTTTGAACATTGCCTCTGCATCTATTAGTCGGCCTTGATCTTTATAAAGAGCGCCTAAGCTGTTGACTGTGTCGAGTGTTGATGTGTGTTCTGGTCCTAATGCCTTCTCCTTGCCTTCCAGTGCTCGTTTGTACATTGCCTCTGCTTCTACTAGTCGGCCTTGACTCGCATAAAGGTTGCCTAACCGATGGCAAACCCATTCGTCTCCTGCCTCTACCTCTTTGCTTGTTTCCATCCTTATCCAACATCGATCGGCGTGCTTCAAAAGTCGACGTTGAATCAACCAATACTCCGCAATGTCATTCTTCGGAACATGACTGCCAACGCATTCCCTCGCCACTCGTGCCATCTGTAGACTTTCTCCATCCTGTTCCTTGTTCAGAACATGCTGTGTCCATGAATGTACACACCCGTGCATACTATAGCCCTGTGATTCCCCTCCCAATGCCCTCATGGAAGCATCTGCTTCTACAAGGCCATAATTATGCAGCACTCGAATCGCTCCATCGAAGCTGATCTTATCGGCCACAATTGCGTGAGCAGACTCTTCTCCGTCACTCTCGAGCACTTCACGCAATAACTCATACCACAAGTCCTCGTTGTCAAAGTACGCCCACAGGCGGAGTAACGTGGCAGACGCTGGATTCTCGCGCTGGATTTGTACGAAGGAGAGATTCCAAGTCGAGTACAGAGCACGATCGTATGATAGGATTTGCGGGCTGCTCTTCTGTAACTGTAGCCATGACGCTTTGTATGCCTCAAAATAGTCGGCAAAAGTCGTGGACGGTGACCCCTCAAGGTATGCGCCGGCTGCTGCGAGGGCCAAAGGAAGCCCGTCAAGGTGCTGCGCAAGGCGACAAGCAGCTTCGTCTATTGACTTGCATTAGTACCCAGTAACCCAATAAGTGGACGAATCAATAGCCCGGACAACGTTTCTATACGTTACCTTGATCAAGCCCCTGCCGACGCGAGGTGGAAGCCAGAATCTCTAGACTGCTCTTCAGATCAACCAGCTTCGTAACCCTGATATATGCACCAAGCTTGACGTCTGATGATCTAGTCGTCATGATGACAGCGCCGTGATAGACGCCTGGAAGGAATGGCCGGATATCGAAGGCTCCTTGTGTCAAGTCCTCGTCTTGCGGCACTGTTTGGTTGCGTTGACCTGCTAGCGTAGTACGAGATGAATCTCCGTTGCTTCTCATATCGGGAGCTTTCGTGACACCAAACTTGGGGTTGTCGTAGTTGTCGTATACAACGATCCATTTGTGATTCGCAGGCTCCTCTAGCCATTGTTTCACCGCCTCTACACCTTTTTCAAGGTCCCGGTTCTGGACAGCATTTCTCACATAAGTGACCGATGGATGATGCCGTTGTATCTGCTGAGCTGCTTCCATGAAACTCTGTTGCAGCGATGTCGTGTCTCTTGCGTTCAGCCAGATCATAGCAGAAAATTGTGTTCGATGGCGCTTGATATACTCTCTGGCCAGCTGCGTCTTTCCCATGCCACCGAGCCCATGAAGGATGGCCGTCCGACGCTGGCCGCCTTCTCTTAGGATCTCATGCATGCGTCGGAGCTCGTCTTCCCTTCCTACGAAGCATGGCACATCGGTAACCTGCGACAGGTGGAGAGGAAGTAAGAACTGGGTGACGGTATTTCTCCGTGCTATGTCGTGTGTCATACGTTAGAACTATGGGTGAATGCAGAGTAATCCTTCAGTGCCTACCAGTATCCACACGAACCTCCGTCTCCCATCGGGACCGGATGGTTTCTCCAGCACCCCTTGCCATGATCTGTAGGTTCTCCGAGACTTTTCTGTAGCCCCCATCGTCTTTTGAAGAGAATTTGATCATATGAGTATGATCGGAATGGATGCCGATTGCCTCGGCATCTGCTTGGCCAGGGACTACCGCCGATGCTTTCGGGACCACCTGTCTTCATTAGCAACTGCTTTCTGGGAGAGGGGAGTATTCACCACGTACTAGAATCTTATGGCCGAGCAGGGTAGGTGTCTCAAATATCTCATAAGCAAACTTCGTGACGAATTCACCGCCAATAGGTGCATACTGGTCAAGCTGCTGCTGTAGCCACTCCGAGTCTCGGCCCAGATGCTGCAGGATGCGATCGTTGGTTGCTACAAAGATAGAAGCAATGTTCATCAAGGAACGTCCCAGTGGCACACTATCACTCCCTTGGTGAGGCGTGCCCATGAATAGGATCCCATACGTCGAAGTCTTTACCGATCGATGTTCATTCTTCGCACCTTGACGAGCGGCATCGGAATGGATAAGGGCCTGGCCAAGTAGGTTAGAGCGGTATCATATCCAGAGGGAATGGGGGCACCCACGCTTTTGAGTACAATACCCCCCAAGCTATGCGTCACAAAGATGATTGGCCTTTCGGTGGACTTTGGTCCGTTAACTCTCCATAGCAGAGTATTTGAGCAAAAGGGAGCAACGTACGTTGGTAAGAGTGCGCTTGCGGGTTAAATCGGCCACGAGCTCTAGCGCATGATCATATAAGTATTGGCAGCTCACCCGATCGCTGGAGTGTGTGTTGGCATCGTAGCCCCAAGTTAGAATCCGGACGTTAGGTAGATCCTTTGGAAGCAGATCACGCAGCCAGTGGACACCGTTGCCTGCTGTCCATGTCTTGTCTGGGTGACCGTTCAGACCGTGAATCGCGACGATGCTACGTGGCAGTTTAGTTGAGCTCATTTCATCACAACAGGAGATATGTCATACTCAAGGCTGGCTTCAGGGCTATCATACACTACCTCAAGCCCCTGGGCCGATTCAATGGCTGCCGTCGCTGACGACTGCTGGGAGACGGCACTGGGAGTATGGCGACTGGATCGTTTGAGTAGCTTTGATAGTCGTTGACGCATCGTGAATTCATAGCGTTGGATCGAGAAGCTCTTGGGCTGGAGCAGAAGAGGAATCAAGGCTGCAAATCCATCTTGCTGGCGAAAAGAAGAGCAGATCATGTAGCCGTCAGCCACGTGCGGCTGACGTTAGGGTGTTTCATCTCCGGCCTTCGCATCTTGACGAATTACCAGCGATCTTTCACTTGGAATCATGCAGGCTCCGGCGGGGTTAGGGCCAATACCAGGGAGCCTGACTTTGATAATGTAGAGCGCGATAAAAAGGAAGGTCGCCTTTGGGGGTGCTGCCGGTCCAATTGGCCGCCCGAACCGAAGTCAGTCCTCACATCGTGGACAATGCTTCCTTTCCCGCCGGATTCGCCTCAAATACCACTGAAAAGACTTCATGAACAAAAAGGATTTTGCCTTCTTTCTCGACTGGTGCGTGACAGAACGGTAATAACTGAGACGACCCACTTTTATATAAGACTCCTTTTCAGACCTTCATTTTAGTGAAGAAAATATGCCTTAGTTTACCCGTAGCATTGTATATAGTGGCATATTGTAAGAAATTTCTTAACCAATGGGGGACGTGGCGTAACGGTAGCGCGTCGGATTCCAGTCCTGGAATCTCCCGAAGGTTGTGTGTTCAAATCACACCGTCCTCAGGTTTCATTTTTGTCTCGAACTCATTCAAGATTCAGATTGACCCGAGAGACGAGACTCATAGTGAGGGGGCGACGTCAATTAATTGACCCATTCGGAATAAGGCCAAGCAGGACGGTATGAAGAGTAACAATGCCGTTGTCGTCGACAGACTAATCTGATACGAAGTCAACATAAATGCGCACGACAATTGAAGAAGGCCAAATTCTCCTCCTCTACTGCTTTTGTGTTATTATCAGGAAGTCGCATGTGGTCAAACTTCTTTTTGGTAGAAGCGCTAAAATGGACATTCAAAACAACATGGGAAATCGAAACACAGAAAACCCCATCAGGATATTGTCTTGAAGCAAGCAAAGGCGGAAGAAAGAGAAGTGAAGGATGACACATCGGAGAATCATACACGAGAAGGAACAGACAACGACGATGCCGTATCTGAGAGGCTGGTCCGAACTATGATTTCTTATCTTCTCCGTGGAGACCCCGCCGTAAACCGGGAGTGACGCTCCACGATCATATGTATTCGGGGGCAGGCTTCCCATCTCGCGAAGGCTGCGCGTTTCCAGGTCTCATCTAGGCGCATATCTGAGCCTGGAATAGAGCCGAAATGATTCCACCCAAAGATACCGCTGAGCTGATCGAGATGCCTTCGGATGGCACCAGCCACTATCTCCAGCGAACGCCTGGAATTGGACGGCAACTTCCAGGTGATCAAGCTAATAGCCGACGTGTGGGCTGATGTATTGAACAGCCTCATCCTTCGCGCAAACCTGGACGAGCCGGTGCTGGAGAGAATGGTGCGGCCGTGAGTTGGAGAGGAGATACCTGGCCCACCGAAATTTAGAGCCAACTGCGAGGTTCAAAAGGCCAAGGGTCTAGCTCTGGTCGGCGATGGACTGGTATTGACTGTTATGAAACGCGGAACGGCGTTCAGCTATTCTGCCATCCTGCTCCCCTGGCTTTGGTCCTCGCCTGTCATCGGGTTGAGGATCTCGAACAAGGCTGGGCAGTAGTGCGGAAACTGATCTGCTTCTTCGTGGATAGCTTGCTGGCGTTATATAGGTGAGGGACCGACTCACTGCCAGATGTATGGGAACGCCGGAGTCGAATCCCTACGACGGGCAGGCAGCCTTGCGCTTGAAGGACTTTGGTGGACAAGGTCAGCAGAGAGTGGGTGAGGCAGTGGAAATTGGCGATCGGAAGAGAGAAAAGAGGCGTGAAGCAGTCAAGGAGGAGGGAGATCAGCTGGGGCAGGTCATCAGAATGGTCTTTGACCCCAAGTTTGATGTTTGGTTTGTACTTGTTTGCCATGGCCGAAAGAAGCCATTTCGGCCGCCTGCAAGTTTGGCCTTCACCACTCTGGATGGCTCATGCACTGGTGGACTTGGGTCACCAGCAGATTCAAGTCGCTTGACGAGAACTCTGCGCGCCGGTACTCTACATAGCTGCAGCTGATGCTGAGCTCTACAATAATATCTGTCTTAACGTGGTGCTGAGCGATAGTGCTGGCAGAGCCAGGGGACAGTGCACTGTCCGTATTAAGGAACTTGGTTCAGGAATGCTACAATGTGATATACCGTACTTGCTCTTGCGCCACGCCCCTAACCCAGAGCTTTGAATGGTAAACATCATTCTAGACATACACATTTTCCCTTACCGGTACCTACTGGTCGTAATCGTTCACTTCAGCGCGGAAGCGAGCCACGCTACATGCAGACAGATCCATACTGCGTTGACCTCTCATGTACTGTCTGGTCAATATCATCGACCAAACAAGTTTCACAGGTATGCATCGGCGTCACAAGCTCTGAGCTCTCGTATCCGAACGAGCCAAGACAGTCTTCAAATGAGTGAGGCGATCCAGGAGGCAAGATAGAAGGATAGGCGATGGAACTAGCCGTCGAAGCCTCATAGCTAGAACTGGTTCAAATATCTACCAGTAGGTATGTCGAAGCCATCGATCGGGCAGTCACGCATTGACATATATCATAATGAGTTCATTGAGGCGAAAAGCAAGCAAAGCCAACACGCTCACCAGCACGTAAGCAGAGCACAGCAGGGCGCCATTCAAGGAAACGGGGTCACGCACACGCACAAATAACCACAAAACAAAGAAAGCCCTTCGAAAATGTCAAAATAATCATTTCTTTCCGCTTCCACGCTCTCCACCCGCGAACCTCAATTCCGGAACTGATGAAACCCAACCCATATGTTTCGCAGGGCCTGCCTTTGCCGTATCCAGCATTCTGGCGATGATCACTCGCCTTTTTCCAGGTTTAAGGTGCCGCAGCTCACATGCTCGAGCCAACACCGTAGGTACATGCTACCTAGGTAGTATATGTACAGTACCTAGCGATCAAGGGAAGAGAATGGAAACAACCAACCGGGAACAAAGAGGAGAAAAAAGAAAAAGAAGGCAAAAACGCCTCGCGCGGAAAATCCGCACCTGGCATCATAGCGCAGTCACCGGCTCCTGCTGCTGCTACTGCGCGCCGCGAATCATGGAGAATTTCCAATGGAACTTTAATGGGTATACGAAAAGCCTACTTCGTACTTGCACTGTCTATTTCGACTGTGCCCTTACGAGGCATTACACTTTAATAAATGGTGTAAAATTAACATTAACGTTGTAAGTTTTTCATTAATTAAATATAATAAAAACGAAAAGTTAAAAATTAAATTTTATTATTATTTATAAAATACGAAATAAACGTAAACACTTTTATAAATAAAATATAATAACGCGGTGTAAAAAAAATATTAAATAAAATCAACTATTATATTTAATTAATATAAAATAAAAATAAAACGAATAAAACCATAATAAAAAAAACACCTTTTAAGCCTTTTTTACCTTTTTCGCCTATAAGCCGGCTCGCTTAATTAAAGGCCATTACCTCTTTACAGGATAAATAAGGTCGGGTTCTTAAAGGTCCAGGGCTAACCCCTCGGGGACGAGGCCGTCGCCCTCACCCTTATCAGGCGGCGCACCTTCGGTAGGTGGTGGCGAACCCTCGGTAGGTGGTGGCGGACCCTCGGTGGATAGTGCAGATGATCGTACCTCAAATGCGGCCCTCTTCCTCGTCATACCAGGGTTCTTGATCAAGTCCAGCTCCTCCCGCAGCTCGTTTTGCAGTAGTTCCATCCGCGTGGTCATGCCCCATCTCTGTATATTCCACAACGCGTCCTGTAGCAACTTAACGTGGTGGAGGTCTTCCAGATCGTACTTCTTTAAGCGCCTTATAGGATAACGAGTATCCTCCAGTGTCCCCGCCTTCCACATCACGAACAACTCAGCAAAAAACCCGGCAATCGCCACCCCGAAGACCGCGTCTTCGCATCTGATTATGTTCTTAGCGGAGGAGAGGCTTAAGGCACAGCCGGTAAACAGCTGGTGCACAGCCCCGGTAACACTGGGATTTGTCTCACGTTTACCCTCGACGACCAGGAAGGGAAATGACAATTGCTTAGCCACCTCGTGTTTATTGACGATATTCAATGCGGTTCTCGGGTCCATTATAGCGAGCAGCATATCTAATGCGTACCCTACTGCGAGGTACGGCTTCGGTATTTGTAACTCATCTGGCGCCGGAAAGGGGTCGAAGAGGTTAACGCCGGTTTTAGGAGCTTTGTGATAAGCCTTGAAGGGGATATCTTTGCACTCCTTGATGCAGCTCCAGGGGGGAAGTGCAGGATTGCCGACAGGTTGATCAAATACATCCCTGTGCATTGCCATGTACTTCGTCCCAGTCCAAGGGAAGTAGTCTTCAAGAGCAAATAGGTACATTGACTCCCCTGCGAACTTATACCGATCGATTAGGATGGCCAAGTCTTCGGCTTTGGTGTTGAGAGAAGTCCTGTTGTCGTAGTCAACTGGCTTAAGGATCTCCGTTATAAGATTCTCAAGCCACGGGAAAGACGGGTTTTGGGTGGCCATGAGACCCTTCCAAATGAACATTTCATTCATCATGAGGCTTCTATTATAATCCCACGTGCTTATGCTGCTCTTCGCTCGGCTGGGGGTCTTGCTCCTTTTGATGATTAACTTCGAAGGCGACGAGTCGTTGATGCTGTCGAGGTTATCAAGGCTGTTGGACCGAGGGTGCCTTCTCTTGCTAGGCGGTTTGTCTGGCAGCATCTTTAGCGGCATCTCGTCACTCTCGTCACTCTCGTCACTCTCGTCACTCTCGTCACTCTCGGACAGGTCTGTATTCTCAGACTCGAGGTGATCTGATGAGAGGCGGTCTATCCAACACCTGAAGGTGTATGGTAATTCGGGTTCACCCGAACTGTTAGTCCCGACGTCGTTGAGAAGACTAATAAGTCCAGTGTTGTCGTATAGCAGCTGGACTAGATTTGGCTGCAAAATCTTAATCAGATTGGGTTGACCGACAATGACCTTGATGAGCTTGGTGTTATTCAGAAGTAACCTAAGCTTAGGGTCCTCAAGACGACGCCTGAACTTGGAGTCGTCAAGACACTTGACGAGCTTGGTGTTGCTGGCGAGGAGCCTCACTAGGTTAGGGTCTTCACCCAAAAGGTTATAGAATCGAGTGTCGTCGAAAAGCAGCTTGTTGAGTCTGAAGTTGTCGTGAAGAAGCCTAACAAGTGCAGGGTTATGGGATATACTCGTATCGTTGGCGGCGCGATAACGGGTGTGAACAGCTTCGTCAAGAAGAGGGCACGAACTTGCCTATTTACATGTTATTATCTGAAAGTGTATAAACAGTTATTTTAGTATACATACCCTTGGTCTGACGTTATTATGGTAGGTAGGGAGGGAGGGTTCACAATAGTGAGGCTTTTTTCTCGCGCCGCTGCGTTCACGTTTAGATGCCGGGCTTAATTGACGCTTCTTGCCGAGAGCAGTGGAAGAAGGGGGTCTTTCGTGCCCGATGCGCGGAGACCCGTCGCCTTGTTGGTCCTTTACAGCCTGTATCTGACGCTGGCTTAGAGGCGATATAGCTGATCTATCCATGAAAGAAGGGAGGTCCTGAGAGAGATT